CCTCCAAAGTATAAAATACTCAATGCTCATTGATACTATTGAATTGACATGTATATTAAATAGAGAGAATTCACTATTTAATTGAGACTCAAACGTAAATGAATAATTAAACAGTCAAATGGAGTAGTAAATTTCATACTACAAGAATACTAAACAATTTCTTCTATTTTTTTTAGTCTAAAATTTGAATTAATTCATTTATTCATTCGGAGGAGAATCCTATAAAAAATTTTGCTACCTATAAATAAATATAAATGCAGGCTGGCCAAGGAACATAATGCCAAGCATTGCACGTGAAGTTGAATTTCTTTTGTTTACTTGATTATTGTAGTGCTCTTTAGGTCTTATACCAATAAAATAATAATAATAATAATGATGATGTTATAAAAGTGAAGAAGAGAGAAGAGAATAGAGAGAAGTCAATAGACTTGTGTGCGTTTTATTAATAACCAAAGCCCTGTATTTATAATGCAGAATAAGGGATACAACAGTAATAATTTCTAAAGCTGCAGGGGTATAATTGTCATTCACCTCTAAACCCCAATAAACTTATCTTTTACAACACTTCCTCTTGAATGACACATTATAAAATTTCTGCCTCGTTAAAACCTTGTTTGATAAAACTTAATGGGAAAAAGTCAAACGAAGGAAAAAAAGTACAGTTATTTTGGAGTATTAAAAATAAAAGTTGCATCATTAAAACCTTGTTAAGAAATTTCAGTGGGACAAAACCTAAGCGAAGGAAAAAGAGTATAGCTACTCCCCCTGATGTTGATCACTGAAAATGTTTGAGTTGACGCATTCCAATATTGTAAACTAATTTCTCAAATGTAGATATTAGCAGTGTTTTTGTGATTAAATCGACCACATTGTCACTTGAGAGAATTTATTGGATACCAATGTCGTCGTTCTTCTGAAACTCATGTGTATGATTAAATTTTGGAGAAATATGCTTTGTCCTATCACCTTTGATATATCTCCTTTGAGTTGTGTGATACAAGTTGGATTATCTTCATACAAAATTGTTAGCTATCCTTTGTTGGAGTTAACCCGCGTGATGTTTGGATATGATGAGTCATGTATTCGACCATACACATTATTGACTTACTTCATGGATTGCAATAATTTCAGAATGATTTGAAAATGTTGCTGTCAAGAATTGTTTCATGGATCTTCATGATATAACTGTTTCTCCACGTGTAAACATATATCTTATTTGTGATTTAACTTTATGTGGGATCAGAGAGATAACATGTATCTGTATATCTCACTTTTGAAAATAAAATAATATCAAATCAATAGTACCATTTAGGCAATGAAAAATATGTTTAACACCATTCCAATATTTTTGAGTTGATGTAGAGCTATATTTTGCAAAGAAGCTTACAGAAAAAGTTATGTTAAGTCGAGTGCAATTTACATGATAAATTAATATTTAAATTGCACTAAGGTATAGAACTTTAGAACCAAGAATATTTTCTCCACCTTCAAGTGGACGAAATGAATCATTTTTCACATCGAATGACCAAACAACTATGGTGATGCCAATGGATGTGCATTATCCATATAAAAAAATGTTTTAAAATTATTTTTTTTGTATACATAGATTGATGAATAAATAATCTTTCTGAAAAATGTTAAATTTGCAACCCAAGACAAAATTTGATTTTTCTCAAATTTTTCATCTCAAATTCATTTTTCAAATAACCAGTAGCTTTGTTGAACTCTTCAGGAGTTCCAATTAAATTTAAATCATCAACTATAATTGCAAATTTAATATTTGTTTTCTTTATAAAAACATATGAGCGGACATGATCAGTTTCATAGCATTCATCCAATAAATATCTGCTAAAGCGATTATATCACATGCATTCAGATTGTTTTAATCAATATAATGATCTAAAAATATAGTTCTCGGACATGTACCATTTGAGTTATGTTTCAGGCATGTTAAATATTTCAAAAATAACATTAATTATCATGCTAGTTCAGTTAATTATCACGTATTTCAAATTTCATATATCGTCAAGATAACATGATATAGGCTCGTGATTTCATCCATGACGATCTTTGCGAAATTCACTATGTTGAGAGTCGTGCATTACATAATACGACTTCGTTTTTCTCATTTCCTTTACGTATAAGTATATACCTTTAGATTTTTGGACTACATGTTCAAAAATTTCGTGTTTATCTAGTAAATTCAATTTAAGATTGTGTCTCCTATTATTTGGCCAAACATTATTTCGATCGATATATTTTGATGCATTTTTTTCGATTCCTCGCGATTCACATATGATACTGTATATCATGTATGAAATTATTGTCGACAACTTTTTATTTTCTTGTTCAATTCTATTTATTTTCTCATAGTGACATAACTTATTTAGATATCTCAATTTTCAACATATCAAGTACTTGAACCTCTTCTGAGATTTTATAATTTGTTATGTCTAAATACTCATTAAGAGTATATGTCTCCTTAATGAAAACATCTTTGCTAATTGCTTCATTTTCATTTGAAGATTTTTTTATTAGAATCGAACACCATCACGTTTCAGGCGTGCCATAGATATATCAAATATAATGTTAACAAATTGTCTCTCAAGACATCAATTCGTATTGGAGCATTAAAAATTGTTGTGTGAGATATTATTGATCTCTTTAATCAATAAATGCATGTAAATAAATTATCTTTTGAACTTCTGGTTCGAATGATATTTAGCAAGGATTTAGATGATGATGTATTTATACATTATTTTCAACTTCTTAATTCTTCCCCTGATGTTGAGAGAATTGTCCAATCAAATTGACAATCATTTTTTCAGGGTTATAAAATATCGCACATTTGAAATAATAGTTCAAACTACGTACTTATTCTCAACATTCTTTATTTTTCATCTCAGTGTATTATGATATTTAATTTTTACATATACTACACCATAAAAAATAGGTAGATGAAAAAATTAGAATCTGACCATAAGTTGATTATAATAGGGAAAACTTGTAATTTTGGTATTATACGTAATATAATTCCCTAAATAAAAATGAAAAATACTTTATTCTCAATTAAATTAATTGGAGGCATTTAATAAACAATAGTGTTAAATCATTTATCGATATTTCAACAACCACTTATTAAAATGTTGAGATTCATGCCCACTAGCATTAACAAGACATAGTCTTGATTATATAATTTGAAAATTATGCTCATAACTTGAGCAATAATTTCATAAAATTTCAGGTTGCGAACATCATGCAATCATCTAATATTTGTGTCAAATATATTAGAGACAAATAATATTTAGATGGTTAATATGGTGGGTGACGGGACCCCATATATCACCCTAATTAATTTTCAGAAATATAGAGAGTTCAATCCCTATTTTAGCTAGCAATGTTTAATGATCAATTGTTGATACAGAGAATAAATAATATACAGAAATTCATTAGATTGAAAAATCTTATGATTCTTCATTTAATATCCATTAAAAGAATTTTAATTTGACATCATTATTGATCTAGTGATGGTCTAACTAGTCATGCAAAATAATAAAATCAAATTGAACTTTTGATTCAATATAATATATAATTCAATTATTTAATCTCGAATAATATGATTAAATATTACATACTCATATATCATTCAAGTAGTTAAATTAATAAATGTTCTAACGACATTAGTTATATGTTTTCCTTTAGGGATAAACATGAATTCAAAATAATATATTTTTCGAAACATGTGCTACTTTGAAAGCACGTTAATTTTTTAATTATTATTACTCATTCAAAAGCAATATCTCAATATTCTTCTGAAATATTGAAAATTATAATTCAAGCTTTTCAGGAGCAATCAGATAGTATTATAATAAATTATATAATAATTTACTCTTCGAGTGTAAAAATATAATTTACGTTAGATTATATGTAATTATACTTTTCGAGCGCAAGTAATATCTAACTAGAATATTAATGAAAATTATAATATGCTATTTTGAAATCACATTATATTTTATATTACTTCTTCAAAAATAATAGATCAGTATTCTTCTGAAATATGAAAAATTTTAATGTCATGTTCTTTAGAAGTAATAAAATATTGTTGTTTACAGTAATAATTATGTAAGGATTTACTCTTCAGAAGTAAATACATAATTTTATGTTAGATCTTATATCATTATATTCTTCAAGAGCAATAAAATTTAACCAAAACATCAATATTTAAATACATATACAAAAGAATGGACACGTAAATAACTAGAGAAATTTATTTCATGATTTAAATAGAATCGATCAATATTCTTCAGGAATATTGAAATTATTATATCTATTCTTTTAAAATATTAATAACATCGTGTTTCTTCAAGAACATCAGCACAAATTTTAAATTTTTATTTTAAGTTGTGCTTTCATCAGGCACACAACAAACATATAATATTCAAGAGTATATATATAATATTCTTCTGGAATACTGATATTAAAGATATGTTCTATCTTTCAAGCTAAATAATAAAATTTGTGCCCTATATGAATATCAATGACATATTCTTCTAGAATATATATATATAACTTGTGTTGTGTTTTTTCGAGAACATCAACATCATATTCGTTTAAAATAACTGTAATTTAAATTATGCTTCTTCAAGAGCATTGAGTCAATACTCTTTTGGAATATTGAACTTGTAATGTCATACTGTTTATAAGCAAGTAATATTCCTCTAGAATATTAATAATGTTGTGTTACTCCAGGAACAATAACGAACTATTTATAATAGATAAATATACAATTAGTATTGTGCTACTTTTGGAACAACAAGATGATAAATTCTTAATTTGAAGTTCATAGAATAATTTCTAAAAATATTTAATCATCATATAGACATAATATGAATTTATATAGAAAAATTAATTACCAAACATAAGAAAAAGAATATCCATACATAAAAATTAACAAAATTGGCCAAATCTTTTACCAACATGAAAAAGACATTAAACATGCATTTGAATTTCACGTATATAGAAATTAAAAATAGAACTAATATGTAACATATTCAAAAGACAGAATTAATACTGAATAATATGTGGAAAACATGATCGTATATGAATAAAAAAAGTGAATTAATACGTGTTCAGATTACACATACAAACATGAATTAGGATTAATATGCATGCCGATAAAAAGTAGAGAAGAAGAAGCAACTTCGTTATGATGCATATGTATATTGAAATATTTCACATGCTACCAAATTAATTTTGGTACACGTGATAAATATTCATATTTATAAAAATTATTACATTTACTAAACTTTGAAAATTAAGCTATCGTACTGATAACGTGTTATAAAAATGAAGAAGAGAGAAGAGAATAGAGAGAAGTTAATAGACTTGTGTGTGTTTTATTAAAAACCAAAGCCCTGTATTTATAAGACAGAATAAGTGATACAACAGTAATAATTTCTAAAGTTGCAGGGGTATAATTGTCATTTACATCTAAACCCTAATAAACTTACATTTTACAACAAATAAGAGAATTTTATTTGAAGAGATGATTCTTCAAATTTTAAAACGGATTTGAAAAACATACGATAAATTGCATTAAAACAGAGAGAGAGAGATGTTCACACGGCTCCTTTAGGAGTCACCATATTAGTTTTAATAGATTCCACTTGGGTTTTATTTGATGATTTAAAGGGTCATTGGATCATGAGAAATTATCTTAAACTCGGTCGCTTGATTTGTGTATTGAAACGAGCAACGGGATCAATTACTTGGGAGAATAATTATTACTTTTTACCTTAGATCGAATAAATAAATAATTTGGATGATCAATCCTCATGCTCATGTAGAGAGTCATATCATAATTATTTAGTCCGATTGATATAAATCACATCCATTTCTCCACTGAAAAATATGATTGATTGGACTCGGTGAATGACAAAAGTTCAAGTTTGACAATTATTTGTTACTTATCTTGTGTACAATTTATAGTAATGAGGTTTGTTTATGTACATTATTATTATTATTATATATATATTTTTTTATCCAGGTATCCCAACTTACACCAGACTAAATTCTGGACCCCCAAAACTCATGCCCCTAAAGCCTTGGAGGGGGTAAATCGCGGGTTATACCTCAACTGGATCACAAGTTCCCTCCATTGACTGTACACTTCTGCGCACAAGAGACCCTCCTCCACAGTGATTGCTCCATACCAAATTTTTTGACAACAGGTTTCCACCAGGAATCGAACTTTCCACCCTGCCGCTAGAAGCAAGACAATGTTGATTGATCCACCAGTTGAGCTGTGCCCGATGGGCATTTTTTTTTTGTTTGTTTATGTACATTTGATTGGATGTATACAAGGAGATATGAATGTAATTTAGCAACAACTATTTCGAAGAACAACGAGAAAAAAAAATGTTCCACCAGCGACCTTGTGTAAAATGGGAAATAAATATACTTATCAAATCAGATCATATTGACCGGTTCAACTGAGAAACAAGTTGAAAATTGGGTTCAATTCAACTAAAAAAATTGTAAAATTAAAAGCCATTACTCATTTATTTTCAAAATATTTGAAACTTTAAAGCCTTTATAAGATTTTTGCAGTCCGAAATAACTTCAGAATCCTAAAAAAGAAACGGTAATTGACTAGATTTAATAAGAATCGCTCATTACTTGTAGGGACTTTAATTGGAAAATAACTTTTGACAGATTTGAAATTGATGAACTGCATTATCACTTCAATTTCTCTCAACCTTCTAACTTCAATGCAAAAATCCCCATTTTTCAGGTACCACCACAAATAATATCAATGGCAAATAATTTGTCCAATTTTTGTACACAAAACTTCCACAATTCTTGGGTTTCGATTTAATGTTTAAATACAACATATATATCTTCTTTTTTGTGGAAATTCATCTTGCATTTTCTTGGAGGAACCCTCTTTTTTTGTTTGTGACAGAAGAGGGTGATCTTTCACATTCTTTACAGCTCCAAGAAAATGGCAGGTAGATGGGTGAAGCCTGAGGTAATCAATTTTCATTTTTTTAAGCGTCAATTAATTGATTTATTTTTATTATATAGATAGGACTTGTAAGGTATGTACAAGTCACATTAACTTGAGTTCATTTGCATTTTCGACATGTACATGCTCACATTTCAGGAAAATTAAAACAAGTGCGTCGACTTTCCAAATTCTTTTTTCAAATTTAAGCCCTTTCGATAGTTCAATCGTCAAAAAATAGGTTGAAACATGCATATTGCAAGGATGATAGCTTGTGCAATGTCCTAATTAATGTTAAGGGATAAATCCCAAGTAAATTGAAATAGATCAACATATAAGGGTTTGAACTACCCCTTTTAATAAAGTTGACTTTTAAGATGGAATCACAAATTTTATTATGATATAAAAGCATTAAGCTCAAATGAGCAACTTGATCCGATTAAAAGAAAAAAACAAGCACACTGATTTCAAAATCAATATTTATTTCAATAATTAATCGATGTGAATTTTATCTCCTAACTATAATCTTGAGTTAGCCACTTATTTTTTATGTTTTACATGATAGGTGTTCCCACTATTTGCAGCAGTTGGCGCAGTTGTGGGCTTATGTAGCATGCAGCTTGTAAGGAATATTTGTACTAATCCCGAAGTTAGGTAAATTCACTTCTCTCGTTACAACAAAGTAGCCATAGACGAAAATTAATAAGTTTTGAATCTTAGATCAAGCAATGAATCAACCGGAATTACAATATATGATTCTTGTAGCCGACCCAAAATGTAATGAGATCAATGCTTAGTTGTTCTTGTTTTCTCATTCTACATCATCCATAAAAGGGTATGATACTCTAAAAGTTGATGTCAAAAGTGTTCTTTTTCGAACATTAGAATCAATCGATAAGGGGAACAAGGATCTATGTTTGCAAATACCAATTAATTGGGATGGACCCTCTCTAGCTCTTGATGAAAGGGTTGCAACGATCGTAAATAAAACTTAGTTTCTATGATAGAAAGGCAACGGTTGACAAAAGAGTAAATATTTGAAGAAAATCACAAGATTTGCTGACTTGCTTATGAAATTTCAGGGTTACGAAAGAGAACAGAAGCGCGGGAGTGCTACAAAACTTTGAAGAAGGCGAAAAGTATGCCCAACATGGCCTTAGGAAGTATGTTCGTGGCAGACGTCCTGAGGTCATGCCTAATCTTAACAAGTTCTTCTCAGATCCAAAGTGAAGCAGATTGTGCTCGTAGCTTTGAGCTAATGCATTTGGACAAGAAAAGTTTGTAGAAACTAGTGCATGATTTCAATTCTATTGCATAATAAATTTTATCTTTTGAAAATGGTAATTTCGTTTGTTCGATGGTCTTAAGCAACTGTTTTTCTCTCAATATATCATTACAACGAATTTCTTACACAGTATTGAACGCAACTCGTGTAATTTTTTTTTTTTTCATCTAATTCCGTCCTGTCTTAAAAAAATATTGATTCTACTCTTGCCACTAGTCTCTGCATTACCACCTCTCTGCTACAGCCCGTTTCTAAATTGGCAACTTGAGAGTGTTCTAGCGAGAGCTCGAGAACAAGGGTGGGGGCACAATGGAGTTGGTAGTAGAGTTTTGGCGACGAAGAATGGTGAAGAGGTTAGTAGCATATGTGGATACAAATTTAAACGTATTTTTGAAATATAAAAGTGAACGAGAAAAATAAATCTAAAAATTGCAATAAAACTTCAATAAAATAATAACATTGTCATTTAAAAAAAAAGTTTAAAGGGGTTATTAATTTGTCAATAAATGTATAATTCATTAATTTATCACTTGTGAAGTCATTTCCATCAATACTACAAAAATGTGATGGATGTCGAACACCTCTGGAATTATCCTAATGAAAATGATAAGATGATGGAATAGGCTATCGATGAAAGATTATGCGAGTGTATTAGATTATCATAATTTAGATGATAGCTGTGTTTTATCAACTGTTTCGCCAAAAGAAACCTTTCAAGCAATGTAACTTTAACTAAGTACTCTACAAAATAAAAAGAAAAAAAGTGGAATATGTATTTAAAAAAATTAGGGATGAGGTTGAGTTCAATTTGTATACATAGAAAAAGCAAGCAACTTTAAATGCATACTTAAAAAGTTTTTAATATGTATTATAAAATTTTACGTATAACAAATTATTATTTTATATCTTCATTTAAAATATTTTCCATTTGTTTATAATTTGTAGAGTCGATTTGGATTTGCATGGACTATGAGCCACGATAAACATTCTTGACCTACGTTCATCATGAATCATTTTTTTAGTAAATGAGAGTCGGAGTAAAGTTTTTGATTTGAGTGCCATGTGATGTAGATCTTTTTCTTAAATTACATAATGAAATTCATTGACTCGTGAGCCTACTCCATTAGTTACAAAAATCTTAATCATTGTTTGGTATATGACTTTTAGAGTTCAGATTGTTATTCCTAAATGACTGTAAAAATTGTCGCTCTCCCACTTAGAATTCGCCGACTCACCACGTTACTTTGGACTAGAAAATAAGTAAGTAGTCATCTCTCAATACATTATAGGTTGAAATGCCATCTTGCTATTTGCTATTCCAAGTGCATTGGACCTAACCAATTTTAAATGAATGATAGGATCTTTAGACAAATAACCTAAAAATCAGGTGAAATGTATCTTGAAGACAAAAATTACTTTGTAAAGTTGGATATTTTTTATTAAAGCCAGTAACATTTTACTTTTCTTCAACTTTAAAGTTCCTTTATCATTCCCATCTTTCCTTTTAGTAGCATTCAATTTCGAAACCATAGTTTCAAATGTTGATGACAAATGAAGATTACGTGTAACAATCATTCCGATAGAAGAGATTAAAATCAACCACACGGAAGATTAACACAAATTTAGCTAAAATTTTTAAGAAATTTGAGATAATTACGCGTTGAATTGAATTAAAATAGTTAAAAGTTACAATTTTCAATTCAAAAATCAATCAAAATCGCGAACTTAAATTTAGAAAAAGACGATCGCTAAAAATCACGAGGAAGGATCTAAGGCTGCTTCTTCTTTAAAATAAAAATTACTTTTTACCTCTCGATGGATTTTTGCTTGTTTCTAATTTATGTACATATTCTCTAAAAATTTGAAAATACAGAGTATTTTTCAAAAGCATAAGAGAGTTTTATTAGTTAAGTGATATTATTAAATTTGGGGAGCTTTTTTCCTACACATGGATTTGATAAGTATTTTTGACAAATAATCCCGATCTTTAATTTAAGTAAATTTAACGATCAGTATGTATTTCACTAGGATCATGAGAGAATTAGTTATAACCACTTGAGATCCATGAGATACTAACCGTTGGATTTATTTAAATTAAATGTTACAATTATTTGTCAAAAATACTTGTCAAATCCATATGTAGGAGAAATGCTTCCCATTAAATTTATCAGAAACATTCACGTATGGATATTCTATGTCAAATTGAGAAATTAATTTCAGTCCCGTTTTGACCTCCATTATTTCTCGTTACATTGTAATTTATTTTTCTAACTCTTTTTATCAATTATTCATTATTCATTATTCAATAAAATAATATTACAAATAAATTAAAAAAAAAATCATTCTTTGTTTAAAAACACATTTTCCAAATAGATACAACTCCGACTAATTGAGCATATACAGATTACTGTATGACAGAAGTGTGCACCCGAATGATGGAATAATGGGGACAAATGGAGTCTTCCGCTGATATAAATTGATCGATATTGTCAAACCCAAATAACATCAAAGAAGAAGTAGCCTTGCTAGCAGCCGCAATGTAAGAGTTCGATTCTTGAGATATAAAATTGGACTCTTTGTGGGAACCAGTGTACGGATGAATTCTTGTTCTCTGGCCTATTGGGGCACGTCCCGTCATTTACCTCACTCACGATGCTTCAAGAACGGCATGGTGGACCTCAAAGTTGGGGTTTAACATTTTTTTTTTTTTTTAAGTAGTAGTAGCCGTTGCATTTCCTTTTCCCTTCATTCCTGCGAAGCCATCACATTTCTTCCATTCATCGTTAATTCTCAATTTGTTAACGCATTCCAGTTTCAACTAAAACAATTTTTTTGCTTGTATCAGTATCACTCAATAGATCGCATTTCCAAACATTGAATTTCAAAATCAACGCATTTTTCACGAAAACAAAAAATTAAATTCTTCATAACTCTTTCCGGCTTTAATTAGAAAGTGAAAAAGGGTACTTTATGGCTTCAAGAACTGCCACGAAAGACATAATCACTCTCCGTGGATCAGCCGCTATTGTCAGCGAATTCTTTGGTACGCCTCCTCTCTTATTTTTTTCTTTTAATTTTAATGTTTGTAAAATTTTCAAGAATCTTTACTATTTTATTTATTTTATGGGTTCCTTTTCTAGGTTATGCTGCGAACAGGTAAGAAATAATCCAAGATTCCTCTAATCTTGACAACTTTTTAACTTTATTTTGACGTTATAATTGGGTATTGGGTACTTTTTAGTATTCTGTATAATCGTGGAACTTATCCAGAAGAAAGTTTTGCAAAGGTCAAGAAATATGGGCTTCCCATGCTTCTCACCAAGATGAAGGTGTTAAATCTTTCATTTCAAAAGTAACTGCACAGCTCTCTGGTAATTCCCAATTCCTTTCTATTTCAATCTTATTTATTTCTATATTATTTGACCTTTCTTGAAATGGATTCAATGGATTATTAATTAAATTAATTATGTATGAATTTTGTGAAGAATGGCTTGAAACTGGGAAACTACAGAGAGTTGTACTGGTGATCATGAGCAAGGCCACTAGTGAAGTTTTAGAGAGGTGGAATTTCAGTATTGAGACAAATAGGGAGGTCGTCGATAAGGGGTAATCTAATTTAATCTATGAGTCTGATTCTGAATAATTTCTTTAGACAGGGAAATGTTTGTGGTTTGGATTTCTATTGAATTGGATTTCGATTTACAGAGTTTCGAAGGAGAAGAGTGATAAAGAAATGATGAGGGAAATTCAAGCAATTATGAGACAGATAGCTTCCAGCATCACATACTTGCCGTGCCTTGATGAACCCTGTAAGTTTTTAATTTGAAATTGAGGTAACGTGCGAAGCACGGACACTACCGTTAGGGTGGCGTTTTCATGTCTAATGCGTATCCAACACTCCATATGGTTTGTTTTAGTTTCTTTTACATTTGACTAACACAGAACACTTCCCCAACATGCCTCGTCCAATACACCACATTCTTTATACATTTATAAGGACATGAAAAGCCTCATTTTTAAAATTTAGGATATGAACTTTAATTATTAAAAAATTTGTGTGAAAAGAGGAAAAATAATGTAAGAAAACGTTATCTGAGCTTTATGGTTGAATTTGTTTTATATTTTACTATATTATGCATTTTTCGTTCTTTAAGTTTTAGTCTTATTCAGATTGTGCTTGTTCGTGTATGTACTTCTTAGGATGTGATATAATGACAAAGTCATTACTATTGATTCTTTCTACCAATATAGTTAATTCGGTTCATGTACAACTGCAGGTGTGTTTGATGTTTTAGCATACACTGATAAAGATGTTGCAGCCCAATTTACTTGGATGGAGAGTGATCCCAAACTGTTTACAAATCCGCGATGGTTAAATTGCATTCTTTTGATACTTGGTAAACTGGCAAGCTAATTCTTGTTCTAGTTAGATTTAGTAACTTATGCTATCTATGACTCAAGTAGATTTAGTACCTTTATGCAATCTAAATCGAGTTTTGTCTTACTGTGCAGATACATAAGGTTGACACTCTAGTATCATACAAGAATGATGAGCGGGATGAGTGAAATTATGCAGCATTTTCTCCCTTGCTCTTAGATTGCAGCATTTTGTCTGTGACTTGAGTAGATTTAATAAATCATTTGATTCACATTTCACATTTTGTGGAATTCAAAGTGAAAACAACCCATTTTTTGGATTATCCGGTAATGTGGATTGTATAGTTGTGGACAATATTGATCAATAAAGAAGTTAAGATCTTGTCTATTTCATCATTCACTTGTGTATAGTGCTGCATATGTAGACGAAGATATCATCTTTGCAAACGTTTCAGTTTCATCATTTTGATCATTGGAGATATAATGTAGACAAAATTGTATAAATGTTGAAATTTCTTGTCAACCCCATCGCTTCGTACTTAATGATTAGGTCCGAATTCTACAATGGAACTCATAATCCAATTTGTTCCTGAGTCAATCTTCTTAGTCTGCTGCCCAAAGGTGGTTTATGAAAGCCAATCCACCGCAGTGAAATCTCGAACGAAAACCACTTCTTTTTTATTTTCTTCCCTGGCTTGACTACTCTGCTTGCTTAACAAAAGTCAAGTCTTCACCGATGGAGATGGGATTTTGTTTGTTGAGAA